TAAAAAAGTGGCCGGTGAGTGTATATTCAAGCTCATCTAGAAGATATATCGGGGGGAATAAAAAAATGAAGGCCTAGGTGGTAATGATTGAAATGAAATATGGCATGAAAAACATGACTTGAGTAGAAAGGAAAAAATAAGTGCAGTCAAGTGAGTCTGACTAACTTTGAAACATGAAGTAAGGTGGACTCTTCTGGGAAGCTCAGTCTGTTGGGAGTGGCATCTGAATGGCCTCTTGGAAAAGCATTCAGGCATTAAATGTAAATTGACTGTGCAGCTTCTTTGCAAAGAGGAGTTGAAACATGATTTTTTTTTGGTGCTCTCTTATCGTAAATGTGCATCCATCCACCTGTCATATGCAGCTGTGTTTAACAAAAAAAACAATAATCCACACTTGCAGCAGTCAAGATTGAGGAAAAAGTATAAATTTGACTTCCAAATATTGATCAACTTCTGGAAAAAAAAAGAAAAAGTCTGTGATTCAAGGGTGTGTTAATGTCCAATAATGCCTTTTACCCAGTAAAGACAGAGATGACATAAAGAATAGCTAGCCATACGATTTATCACTACATTCACCTCTGTGTTGCTGGACATAATTTTACGACTGGTCCATCCCTCTACCTCGTAAGGTTAGGTAACCTGATATAATTGTTTCCCCACTTCTTAAAATTTGATATATGACTTCATGGTACGCATTGTGTCCATGAAAGAATGTGTATGCACAAGCAGGCGTGTGTTATTGGGCAGTCCAGGTACAGCCAGCTGCAGTGATTTATTATACGCCTTGAAGGGATTTATACTTTTATGGAGTCATGAGGGACATGTCAGCCGAGTATGGTATTTTTTCTATTTTTTTTTTCCTGCGGGGGTGTTCAGGGTGGCAGGTTAGGCCTGATGACCGTGGAGAGGCATGCCAAAACAGCAGAACAAGTTCAGCTTTCCAACAACTATCAACATACAGCTGTACTGTATATCTAGATAAAAGCCTAAATCAGTAAAATTTGTTTAGCTCAGTACTTTATATGCTGCAAATATATCTTATTGTGTATATATATTTATATATATTTAGTTTAGTGTTAACAAATTGTTTTCAGTATACTTTATTACAGAAAAAAATACGATGAAAATAATACGGTTTAATTATATGTGTAATTTTATGTAATTTCAATTGATATTACTAATAAGGGTGTTGCAGGTCTTTTTTATGTGGTAACAGTATAACAGAATAACTCTCTTTTAACATTATTATCTCTAATAGGTCCACGCTCCAATTCACAACACATGTCATCTCATGGCACTTTACAGTTCACCAAATCATACAGTCAAATTAATTCAAAGTTTTTTATCTAAGGAAAACAGTTGATTGAATCAACTCATTGACTTGAATGCAATCCCTCACACTAATCATGCTTGTAGCGACAATGTAGAGGGAAAAACTCAGGATAACCTGAGCCACCCTAACTATAAGCTTTATCAAAAAGGAAAGTTTTAAGCCTACCCTTAAAAGTAGACAGGGTGTCTGCCTCA